TATTATTGTTATTATTATTATTATTAATAGGACTCCTTTATGACTGGAACGGAGACACAATTAAATAAATCTCCGAACTATGTCATTTTCGTTACCTTGTTATTCACTTTTTGATGCACCTGCAGTGACATCGATATCGGCTGTACTTGATACCCTAGTCGTCTGTGTTGTGTACTCTCAACGTCAAAAATGATAGTACTGAACGCTCTGGATCAATAACTGAAATGGGGAGTATACGAGAGACATAGCACTGAAACTGAAATGATAATCAACGCTCGTTTACTACATACAAGCGCATTGCTTATAAGGTAACATACAGGCAACAAAGACATCAAAACGCTGGTTGACATCAGACGGCCAGTCGGTTTGACGGTTGGAGGTCTAGATATGAAATGGTAATGCAATAGAGTCTATGGAGTAGGAAGCATCAGAATGTTTCTGGTAGATTTCGCTGGATGTTATGAAAATGAGAATATGTCCAACGTAAAATAGAAGGCAATCCGGAAGCCACTTCACTGGGAACATATCGCGGCGCAACCGAGTATGGAACTTGCTTGGAGGAAGTTCGAAGTAGTAACAACCAGTTGTCTCTGATCTATCGCCCATGTAGACTGGTTTCAACAACATGGTTAGGCAGTGAGTATTTTCTTGTGCAGCACGAACTTCAGTCGAAGAGTGGCTTTTTATGTATTGTGAAGTGAGTTTTCGCGAACGTTCGGATAATTAACAATGGGCCACTTCTCACGAGACTGGGCGAGGACTGGTTTCGGTAAAAGTGCCTGCTTTCGCGGGTGTAGAATCGTTCCTGTTTCATCTCGTCAGGCTTTCATATTCATTTGATGTACAGAAAACCATCCAATCTCTCGAAACATTCGTGTCAACACTGACTTTGTTGTCTATGATGTCTATGATGATGAGACTGATCTTTACTGAAGACAAATCAGCTATGTTTTAGCCAGCAGCATTTGGTATGCATTTGTATTTTCTCGCGCAACACAGCTGCAGAAAACGCGAAGTATTGAGGTGTTGCATAGTTCCTATATACTTCATTGTTGATGGTTAGGTTTCCATTACGGAAACTGGTAAAATTATGCATACTCGTTGCTGGAAAGTACTTCGCAGCCGTCTTCAAATTCTCAGTTTAGTATGAGCAATTCAGAAATGTTTCTGTGTCTATCCATTTCCGGTTTCCATTCTGCAGTGGTGATAGTGGATTGAAGCCGACGGAGCCGGTGGAACATAATCTCAAGCACCGATTCCCTGTTCATGAAATCCCCGTTTTTCTGGCGTTGGATGGTGTAAGCAACGCATAACTGAGGACTTACGACAAAATTGATCCGACTCATTGTCTAATACTGCATCTCACAACTATGAGTGGTGCCTGTATCACTTCTTTCCTCTTTGTCTACACTCCTAATCATGTATAGTTCAGCTCATTTGCCTGTCACGCTCCGCCCATTATTGTCCAGTGAAAAGAGAACCGAAGTATGGTTTGTTACTTGCTTGGACGTCTGTTTGAATTTGTTCCAAGCTTATCCTGTTATCGCTTCAGTTGGAATCATTTGGCTGTTGGTTGCTTTAATTCGCTCTTATTTTGATTTAGGTCCTAATGAAGGACACAGGAGCACCCGCATCTGCTGAGGAAGTTCGTGAGGTGATTCGGCGTTGTCTCGAACAGGCGGCTTTGGTGAACTATACCAGGATTTCAGAGTATGCCGCGATCGAAAGTACGTTCCAGTTCTGCATATCCTGACGCATGAGATATGTCTCCAATCATTAAACTATTATTTTATATGTTCTCGCCAACTAAGACGAATGTTTTGGTGCCGTCCCCCAATAAAGCATCTATTTTGAATTACTGATGTAAGTTTATGGTATTTTTTATTCACCTGGATGCTGACTGGTGACAAAATCTCTCAACATTTTGCGCAATCGTTCGAAGTCTACCCTAAGAGTCTACTTTCTACCTGAGGGTCAGCTTCCGTCGTGGTTTGGAACGGCTACAAGTTCATGCTTCTGAATCTCTACTGTCTGCTCCGGGAGCCGCATTCCGAGTAGACTGACTGTACAACTAAATGAAAGAAGCTTATATGATACTTCCTTTGGCATGAAAAAACACTACTAACCTGTCTTCACAAATCT